TGCGTATTCTCATGAGTGCTTATCATAATGTAGAGCCACCGATATACCGACCCGCCGCGTGGTTCGAATCGGCTTGGCCCAAACGATGAGCGGACGCTCATCATCACACGAGCACTGCTGGGCCATGCCTTTGTTCATCACTCGCCTTCGCGCGGTGCACTGGCCCCTCCGCTTCTGCCTGATGCACCCAACAATGAGCGGTGCGTTGGGCAATAAGCGGTTGTTTCGCGTGCTAGAGAGTGCCTTTGGTTGTTTTTTTGACCGGCCTGCTGTGTCTCCATCACTTCTTTAGATATGACTCGGTGATTGCCACGCCGCCGGGGGAATGTCACGAGATCATTTTGTTTGACAATACGCAAATCTATCCTGAGCTGGTGGTCTACTACACGGCCAATTAGGATGCGTCTTGCTGTTGACCTGTTTCCAGGTTCTGTTTCCTGTTTGCTTGTAGGTTGCCGTGCGACAAGGGCGTGGATGATGAATTGACATACATGCTATTATGAAGGTGCTTTGCAATCCCGAGTGAGACAGGGCATTCGTGGGTCAAGCTAAGTTCCTGTGCAAGTAATAACTTGGTATGACTGCTGGAAGCAAAAGTAGCAACGCGAGTCTGCGGCAAGAGTTTTATCCAAACCGAGCATGGGTCCAGAGGCGAGCTGACCTTTCGAGAGGATAGCGTGGGGAAATGGCTCCTAGATGTGTGCAGGTTCAGCGAGCTAGCACTCACCTACACGCACATTGCTGGAGGTACGATTGGAATCAGGCCCTCTCTTTTCTCACGTCACACTAGCTGCCCAACGCAGAGGGACGTTGAAGAAGGAGCTAAAGAAAACCCCAGACGGTACACACAGAGACAGAGACAGAGAGAGAAGACAAAGACATAATGGGAGATGGACACACACACACACACACACACACGGAATGAGAGAGCCTAAGCAAAGCCAGAAAGAAACAGAGACAGAGGCAGCGGCAGCATCATAGACGGCAGAGAGGGAGAGAGAGAGAATTATTGATGTGAATGTGAATGGCACCATGTCGATGGCCCTTTTCAAACGAGAGGGACAACCCCCATAGCGAGTGACTAGGAGCGCGGTTGCCCTGATTTGCAACATCTCCCATAGCACGACCGTGCATCAGCCAGGCTAGAAAGGCAACAACATGTAGAAACCACCGTCTTGTGGCCCCATGGCTCCTGGCACGGCGGGACCCTGATCTCTCCAGCCCGAGCTTGGGCAACACAAGTGATAATTAAACTGTCTTTTCCCTTGGATTTTTCTTGATTTTTTTTTTTTTTTTGTGTTCCCACTCCTGTTAGCGTCAAATCCGTGCTACTATGGTCCTTCACACCAACCAGACAAGACCAGAACCGACCAGACCAGGTGCACCACTCAATCCTCACCGCAGGCAGGTCTTGCAACAGGAAAAACGACGGTAGTCACAAGCATCTCGCACAAGGCAACAGAGCCACTGCCTCATTACCTCATTCCATCCCTCGTTTGACTGACGTTCAAAGCGTCGTAAAAAGCATTTAGTGCAAGCTGCTGCAGTAGTAGTAGACGTTTGGATGTGAGAGCCTCTTGGGTGCTACAGGCTTTTTCTATAAGCGCACACTCTGCCATTTCTGTTTTATTACGTTCAAAGCGTCGTCTAGAAAGCATTTGTGAGTGCAAGCTGCTGCAGTAGTAGTGTCAGGCTTCAGCACGTCTGTGCTCAAATGCGTGGAAGCACGAATTTGACGCTAACAAGTAGACGTTTGGATGTGAGTGCCTCTTGGGTGCTCAAGGCCTTTTCTATAAGCGCACTCGGGCATTTCTCTTTCCCTTCTTTGGGGGCAGGCTTGCATCTCTAACAACAACTCCTTTTGGTGCCGGTGTACTCGACCATTGCTGTTCAGTCAGTGTCAGGCTCCGGGGCGTCCGGCGTGGAACACGGATTTGACGCTAACAGTCAGTGAAGGTGCCAAGGAAAAAAAAAAAAGCATGTTTAATAGCTTGAATGACTCGAGTTGTGCTACCTGAACACTTGTAACGCTACACTGTGCAAGGTGAGCCACACGGCGGCGCTGCGACACGACGTGAGATCTCACTCACTTTCTGCACCGACCATCGACAATGCGTTTGAAGAAAGCAGCTCTCCGTTTGTTTCTCCACACGAAGCACAAGCTACGGTCAGTCATGAACATATCCTTGTTACCCACAGTGCGCAACGCTCGCCATTCAGCCCGCTGCCCTGCCCATGCTGTGGTTTCGGATCAAGACATTTAGAGGAGCCCCCTCGGGACTTTTGTGGTGTTGCTGATGGAGAGACATCGTTATCATGAGTAATCATGGAGAGCAGCTGTTGAGGGCGTGCTTGACATCAGATCCACAAAGGGCGCTGCAGCTGTTGAGCAGTTGGGATCCACGACGTATTCGAGATGCTGCCGCCACTTTTAACCGTAATATTCTGGTACGTATGTTGCTTCGCATGGGCTTTGTTCTGTGATTATGGCTTTGAAGCTATTCATCTGAGCGGTTTTGTGCTTTTGGGTTTGTCTGCTTGTTTTTTGTTGGCACAGGATGGCTGGACAGCACTGCACTGTGCCTGCCTTCGGAACCATGTGAAGGTGGTGGAGGTGCTGTTGAAGCACGGCGTTGATGCCAAAGCCCAGACCAACGTCAGTACCTCCTCTTCTCTCCCCTTTACGCCGATATGATGGTACACCTGCAACACGTGATGCTAGTTGTCTGTTCCTGTACTTCATGTCAATGCATCATCCGCAGAAAGGATGGACACCGCTACACAGTGCCTGTGTTAGAGGTCATGTCAAAGTGGCGGAGATGTTGTTGAAGCACGGTGTGAATACAAAAGCCAAGGACGACGTTAGAGCCCTCCTCTTCCCGCTTTGCTCTCCCCCCCCCCCCTTGATTCTATACACACCTGTAGCATGATGTGTTTGTACCTGTGCGTGATGCTGATGCATCATCCCACAGTATGGCCGAGCTCCACTGCACTATGCCTGCGAGAAGGGCCATGTCAAGGTGGTGGAGATGCTGTTGAAGCACGGTGTTAATGCCAAAGCCAGGGACGATGTGAGTGCCTCCCTTTTTCCGTACCTTCTGGGAATGGTACACCTGTAACATAATGATGATGTTGTTGCACCTGTCAACAATGCCGATGCATCATCTCCCACAGTATGGCCGGACTGCAGTACACTATGCCTGCGATCAAGTCTATGTCAAGGTGTTGGAGATGCTGGTGGAGCATGGCGCTGATGCAAAAGCCATGGACGACGTCAGTACCTCCCACTTGCTCTTCCGTCTTATGATGGTACACCTACAACATATGATAACGCTGTATCTAATGCTGAGGCATCATCCCATAGTATGGCCGGACACCACTGCACTATGCCTGCCATACCGGTCGTGTCATGGTAGTGTTGATGCTGTTGGAGCATGGTGTCGATGCAAAAGCGCAGAACAAGGTCAATACTTCCCTCTTTCCCATTAACCTCCCTCTGCTGGTACACCTCTAACATATGCTGATGATGCTGTACCAGGGCGGCCGAGCACCACTGCACTATGCCTGCTATAACGGCCATGTCAAGGTGGTGGAGACACTGTTGGAGCACGGCGTTGATGCTGAAGCCAAGGGCGAGGTCAGTACAGTACCCCCTTCTTTCCGCTTTGCTGCTGCTCCTCCTGCACATCCGCTCGGCTTTCTCTCCCCTCTACACCCTGCCCTTTTGC